TGGAGTCTTGCATGGGTGTCAAGATCTGCAGAGCACCAGGAGTCGTCGCCAGCACCGACAACATACGACTTCCCTGTATATGGGGAGAGCACTTCGATGTCGTGGGAGGACACTTGCCAGCAGGAAAGCGTCTGTTCACAGCATATACTCCAAAGGGCTATATGCCAGAGCTTCGTGTAGCCCCGCGACAGGTGCTGCAAAAAGAAAGAAGCAATCCTGCAGACCTGCGAAACCTCCGTGTCTATGGCGAGGCTCCCCATCCGCAGGCGCAGGCGCGAAGAGCACAAGTCGTGAGACGTGGGAATTTCCAGGGCGATGGATCAACGTGTCAAGCAGAGCACAGATTTTTTCGTTGCTTTAGGCTCTAGCTTTTGCTGACTAGCACCGTCCAATACCGTCTAAGTCACGCTTCCATAGATGTCGCATGAGCCACAGGGCATGTGCGTATAAATCTATTGTTGGTTGATGCCTTGGAGTCTTGCATGGGTGTCAAGATGTGCCAAGCACCAGGAGTCGTCGCCAGCACCGACAAGATACGACTTCCCTGTATACGGAGTCTCCGTACACTTTGTACACACCGGAAGTGAATGTTGTCGATACCGGTGATTTCTGGTGCTTTGCACATCTGAACGCCACTGCAGAAATCCACGGCATCCGCCAACAGTAGGCTTTTCATTTTGGCAGCCACGTTGCTCGCCAACCACACCGACAAAGGCACTGACCAGCAGAACGAACTGAGCGTGGTCAACGTCTCCAAACTCTGTGTTTATAGAATCGTCCTCCGCGCTGCGGAAGGTGGGGGCTGTGGCTGTGAGTGGGGGAGCTGGTCGGGGAGCTGGTTGGGAGACTGCTAGTATTTCAGCTGGCGGGGGAGCTGTTGGAGGCCTGGCGTGGGGGCTGGGGCTGGCGGGTTCGGGAAGACTGCTCCGCGTGGAACCGGTCGTTCTGCATATGAAGATTAAAAAGGCTTGATTAATGATTAGTCCGGCGGATGGAGGAAAACGCCTATCAGTCGCAAGCCTGAAACTCAGAAAGATGCTCCAGAGAACACATACCTTGAAAACTGGCCAACAAGCTTTTGGCTTGTCTTTCCTGCGCACAGCCAACAAGCCACAGCTGAAGAAGTTGCGGCATATCTCGTCTTCGCAGTTCAGTAGTGGGTTTGTATTCAAGCGAGAGCGATTGGGAATTACCCTCACTGCAGCAGCTGCAGCATGGCGTTACTGAGCTACATGCGCAACTTGATGGAACCTTCATGCCTGATTCCGTTGTGTTGCAAGGCTTCTGCTGGCATGTTTGCGTGGCTAAGGTTGATCTTCAGAAAAGCTTATCCTTGAGTAGGCCACATCAGACATACATGTCACCCCTGGAAGGTTTATGTGGGTGGGGGGTGATGGAGTTGATGAACACGTGAAGGGGATGCTCCTCCGTTTAACACCAAAAAATCCGAAAGCATGTTTTGACTCTTTGAAAGGGTTGCCTGTGGACACAGGCATGATGTGATGCAAGCAGGCTTCTTCATGCGCTGGCTTCAATCCAAACTTCCCACCGGGAGCACCCATCAAACCGGACGATCTGCCCGGACCTTGGCTATAGCTTAGCGCGCACCGCGCCGCTACCAGCTTGCGGTTCTTGGCCCTGCAACCAAGGCTGAGGGAGCACTCTGACTTTCCCCTCGGAGTTTCATCTCTCCAGGCCGGCATACATGAGAAAATTTGGGACTTTACTGAGTGACAGTACTCAGAGTCTGTGCCAAGCTCATTCTTATTCCAGCCCTTCAGGAAAATACGGGACACACTCCCACACATCCACGCTTGACTTTCTCAGAGGCACCGATAGGTGGATATGAAAGGGCGGTGCACAGAAAGAAAATCGCTCTCATGTTGTTGCCAGGACCGCTGCCGAAGCCGCAGCCGCTGCTCGCCGACGCAGTGGCGAGCTCCTAAAAAAGACTTGGAAGCGGCTAAGAGCCACACAAACACAAGCGACACTTGAACTGAGGTGCGGCCTTTTCGATGGCTTCTGTCAGGAATCTGTTTGTGACCAAGACCTCCGCATGTCAGTATGTGATGAGAAGTTGCAACGGTTTGTAGATGAGACAAGGCGCCGGAAAGCTGCACTGTGTGGATGCTCAGCGCATACCGCTCGACTGTCAACGCCGGTAGCCAAGGAAGTTTGAAACTGGATGCCCGCATGGCATGACTTCTACAGTGCTCTGTCCCAGCCATGACAGCCATGAAGTAAATTGGCTACTGTAACCACATATTCCCTACATAAACCACCCCCTGTGGCTTTCCCAAGGTGTTGGACTCCATCGCCTCTGCCTTCACTTGCCCAAAGCCCTCCGGAACATCTCAGGCAGGGGGCCAGAGGATGGTCCAAGACACAGCATTGTTGCACCTGCGCAGGTTTAGCCTTGTAATGTGTAGCTTTAAGTTTGCTCCAGGGCTACACGGCGATGCAGACGCCAAGCCAGCCACACAATTCAGGCACGTTGCTCGCATTGCCTTTGTTCATTCCGCGGGCTGTAATAGCATGTTCCCCTTGTGCCCATTCTTTCATTTTCACAAGTGACATGAGTGCACTGGCGGAACGAAAGAGATGATGGTACTTCAGGTCTTTGTTCGTTGGTGGGACTCTTTTCAGCTTACTGTGTGCTTTGCAAGTTGGCAGCTGCGCCTTTGTGCAAGAACCTTGAGGCAACCCACCGGTGATGAGCCTTCGATCTTCCGAGGACGAGACTGTGCCACAACACAGGAGCTGCTGCTACTGTACTGCACGCAGCCGACGATGCTTTTACACTCCATTTCCTGCCCACTTGCACCCTGACGCAGATACCAGGACTCGCCTGCCCGTGTCGTGGGAAGAGGACTGCAACAACAGACAACAGACCCAGTCTCTGCAAATGAGGCTACAAGGGAGGCTGAGTGCGATGCTGCCATGTGCCCCATGTGTCGTGCCGAGCTGAGATAGGAAAATCATGGAAAATCAGTAGGCAGCTTGGTGAACTCTTCCGGTTTTTGGCGATGCGTTAGCATCGGCCTCTACCACTACTGCCACCAGCATTGAAGCAACAGAAGCCAGCGTGACAGTGCAGGGCTTGATGGAGAAGAAGAAGAAGAAGAAGACTTGAAGCATTTAGCGGCACTCCCAACACACAGCGAGCGATGCCAGTCTGAAAGCGCCAACAAGGCTGTACGACAGTGAGTGAAAACAGATAACTGATGGCGTGCGACTGGCCTGCGTTTGTTTCACCCTTGCTACTTGACTTCAGTCCTGCATCAAGCTATGAAGAGCTTTCTCAGAGGAGACATGGTGCAAGGAGGCCAACATCCCTGTACCAACCCCGTGTCATCCTGAGCATTCTCGACAGATTTCTCGGGCAAATTTGAAGCATTTTAAACCCTGAGGCCGCTACCGGCGCTGCTGGGGCATCGACGACGCATGTCCCAGTTCGCAGAGCCGACATGCTGGCAAGTTTTCCGTCCTGGCAGCGGTGATCGCTACAAACAGCTTGTTCGCTAGGTTCAAGACACATCTTCCTGGCGAGATGCCAATGGTCTGAACCGCTCAGATTACGGGTTGGCTTTGTGTCGGACTAAATCTATGGAAGAGGCATCATAAAGAAGCAAGATGTGGAATGCTGGAAAAATCGCGCATTTCCTACTTGCATAACTTCTGCGCTACACGTGTAATTTAGTCCGGTACTCTGGCATATGAGCTCATGAGGAGATGAGACTGAATAACATTCCCTGCCAGCAGCAAAGTACTTGCTGGTCCCATGCACACTCCCAATTCCAAAGGTCCTGGGTAGCATTCACCCACCAGTGGCAAAGCACCTGCTGGTGCGCTCCGGCATCCTAAGTCTGGATGCATGACCCAAACGCCGGGTCGGAGCACCGCATGCTCAGATCTGCGATTTCCGATTTCGGGTGTATAGGGTAGGATGTTATTAGGATTTGCGGCCTAGAACTCTGGGTCTTAGGGTGTAGGATTTGAGCTTCAGCTTTCATCATTTTTTCCTGCAAGGAACCTGTGGTGACAGGAATTTTCACTATCAACTGAGCCAACTGCAGATGTTCAAGATTTGCCTGCACATCAGAAACAAAAAAGGCTGCTCCGTACTTGCATCAAGAGTCGTGGTTCTGTGTCTCGCCTTGGTAGGCCGGCCCTCGAGAAGCGAAATACGAAGAAGCTCGACAGCCAGGAGGCCGGACCTTACAAAAAGAGCTTAGAGAATATTGAAGCAGTGATCATTGAACAAGACATAGGAATAATGGCAGTAGCATATATGGGTTCAGCTGGATTGTAGGTGCCTCAGTTGCCTGAGAAACATCACAGGGATGAAGAACAAGGTTCGAAATGCATGAGATGTAGGTACTCGAAATTTTGAGTACCTCTGGAAACTTGCCCATCTGGAAGATTATGCCCATTATCTGGGGCTCCCGTTTCCCAAGAGACATGGTTCCATGTCGTCCAGAGTCAAAAGCCCAAAACAGCCTGCTTGTGTCGCGGCAACCAGCATCTATCCTATGCACTGAGCTGAATTTGCAACAATCGTGTGGGCCCGAAAGGCCAGCAGGCGTCTCGAAGCCATCAAGCAAGAAATCAAACAGTAGCGTTGGCAGAACATCATGCCATCCCTGGTGACTGCTTTGCCTTGTCTCCAGTTCAGGCCGGAAAGCTTGCAGAGGAGGTGCTCGAGGCGCCGCCCTCTTGGACTTAGGTGACCAGCTATGCATCCAGTAGCCTGTAAGCTTCAACTCAGAGTAGCCCAAGCTGCTAAGAAAGAGGCCGCCAAGCAACATGAAAGTTTCACCACATTGTTGCTAGCTTTAGCTTGCGTTCAGGGAAGGATTAACTTGGGCTTGGGCTGAACATTTCTGCGCGCATCCATCTCCCAGACCGACGCAGCGGCTGCAGATGCCGAGGTGCAAGTGCCTCTGTACAGGGAAAGATTGCAACCTTCATAAGCCCACAAGTTGATCTCTGAACGGCTGCGCTCGCGGTTGCCGGAGCATGAAACTCAGGACATTATTTCCAGGGAGTTTTTCTGGGCAACGCAGGGCCTTGCAGCTTACAAGTTTCCCTCGCTAACGGGCAGGTACTTGGCAGACATGCGCGCATTGGCCAAGGTGCTTGCGTAGCTTCGCTATAGTGCTTTTTGTACATGTCATTCGCAGATGTGTTGGTGTGTTGTTGTGGAGAAGGCTTCTGGTGCCACATCCCCGAGCATGATCTGTTTGCCTTGAGCTCGGCATTAAGGGAACCGTTGGGTCTCTAGTTCGTTACCAGCAAGTGTTTTACGGCGTGCCCGCAGCATGCTGGCTGTTGCAGCAACAATCAGATGAGAAGGCCACAACAGCATTGGTAGCCAGGGACAGCTGATGTTGGTTCATCTCTTCAGAATGAGACAGGCCCCTGTCGTGGCCGTCCGCGGTGGCATCGCGGAGCTTGACATCAGCCGGGCAACCAAGCCTGGCATCGTAGCAGAATTGTCGTGCTGGTGGCTGTCATGCACTCCCAAGATACCTCGCATAAGCATCGAGACTGAGGCGGGAGCATGACAGAGCTGAAGCTCGAGGCGCACAAATGGAATGCCATCTCAGAACATGCAGCAAAGCGCAGGCGCTACGTAAGAAGCGTGTTGAAAGCTTACATAGGTGGAGATCAGAGTAGCGGAGTAGCATTGCTTGTCCAATCCGAAAGGGTGTAAGGTGCGGCTGGCTACTGAATGTGGATTGCAGAGGCTTTGCGAGCACCGAAGGAAGAAAGGCCAGTGGCACGCGCGACACAATTAGCTCAGCAGATCATGCTTGTAGCCCAGTCTGCCATGATCTGCTTGTCAGATTAGATGGCATTGCTTTGCAGGCTGGCTTGGCCAAAGGGCACGGAGGTGATGTACTACAGCCTGGTGCTCACACGATGCAAAGGGATTGCCTGTTTGACCTTGATTTTGTCTTTCTGCGTGACGTTAAGAGTCCCATAGTGGCCTTGGCAAAGGCATTTGTCAAGATCATTTCCATTGTGCTAAGTGGGCATGTGGGGGAGCCCTAAAATGTTACGGGATTTCGCTGAAGGGGGCTGGACCCAACCCGATCAGGGCTTTGCAGGGTGGTCCTGGGAATCTCCTGAAGCGCAACCGGCCCTGACCGCTAGTCCATGGAACGTACCTGAAGAAGGCAATGCTGGCTGCTCGGGGAACCTTTCAAGTGCAGACGGGTGGGGGGGGAGACGTTGGGAGTCCCTGAGAGTTCTGACCGCAGCTACGGCGGCTTATGTGGCACCTCAATTCTTTTGCACAAGGAGTGTCTATGGGAGTCTATGGGGTTCCGTCCGAGTGATGCTGTGATCTGATCCTGCAGTTTCATTCAACATCAGCAGCAACAGGAACCGAGTATTCAAACGCCAACTTCTTCTGGGACACAGCTCCAACCGTCGAATTCAGCAAGAAGCTGTTGTGATGCGTTTGAAGCTCAGGCGGCTCCCTGTGCAAGTGGATCATTGCGCACATCGTGAGATCCTCAGCTTGCGTCGTGCTCTCACACGCCATCTAGTGTCCTCTTCCTGCGTGCGTACGAAGCGGCACAAGTGTACGCACGGCGATCATGCGCAACATTGGAAGTGTCCCAAAAAGACGTACTCTGAATCGCCCTGGAGAGGATAGCAACGATAAGGTTCAAATGCTACCTGCTTGATGCTGGCAGGAGGGCTTCAATCGTGCCAATTGTACTTACAACCTGGATGTGCGCCAAGAGGCTGATCCAGAAAAGGCCCAGTGTCTGGTTTCGGTAGTAAGTACGCGCTGCATCCTTTTTTATGCGAAGCTAGGATCTATACGTGTGGATGTGAAGCAAAATAAGTCGCTGCTCTTCCGAGATTTCCCAAGTTCTTCAATCTGACAAAAGGTGTTTTCACAGCCTGCAACTTCCAATCTCTAGTTGCAGCACACTGATGACTTGAGCATCCTATCAGCAAGGATGGTATGCCAGACGGCTCAAGATGTGGTCTCTAGACTGGACATGCGGTGCACACCACGTGCAGGTCAGACCCCGCTAGCCCGGTCAATGCGCAGGCCCATGACAAATTGCTGCATGGACTCTGTAAGACGGGGAAAGTGCTGATGTGGTGACACACAATCGTCAGCAATCTACAGCAGCCATTCCAACATGTTTGCCATAAGATCCGTTTGTGTGGTGGTCTAGGGTAGTCCTTTTCTGGCTCTTGACCTTCACTGACCCAGACCCACTGATGCTGCCTCGAGCTTTCAGCGAGGAGTGTTCTCTCGTGCCTGAGCTCTGCAAATGCGCCTTGAGAGCCAGGATGCTCGAATTCAAGCGGCTAAGTTTTGCTTCAGGCGTTCTGCCTGCAGAGTGCTCGCGGGCTGTTTGGGCAAAACTTAAGTCCGAAAATGGCCAGGAGGTCTCAAGTCCGCAGTGTCAGTTTTGTTGTTCTATGCCAGACCTCGTGGCTTACACGCGCCAATCGCAAGCGCCACCATGCACAGGAGACGAACAAAAGCAGCTTCAGGCGTGTGTAGGATCTAGTCAAGATGAATACAGACCAGATCAGACCAGTTGATCTCCAGTTGGTGTAGAACCTTGCGCTTCGCTGACGACAGCGATGATCCGTGCCATGTCGGCCTAAAGTGTGAAGTTGGATCAAAAGAACGTCTCCGTGCTTTCCTGCCAATTCAAGAGGAAGCGTCTTGCAACTCACGGGCGGTTTTGCTGCTCGTGCAGCTTTGGACCAGGCATGTCCCAGAGGGATGAAGTCGAATCTCTAGCATCTTTGGCTGGCCGGCCTTTGACAAGTAACCCCGCACCTGAACTGGTGGACCATAACCCTGATGTATGTGACATATGAGATAAAGGTGGTTCAGCAGAGGCCGGTTTGCTCGAATTATGTTGTAGACCCAACTGCATGTCGTGCTTTTGGACATTTGCGCTGGCAACGGCGTCTTTATTTTGTCTGGCGACAAAGGCTCGCGCATTGCTGCATGGTCTGACACACCCCAGGGGGCCCCTTGTTGCCGATGCGTGCTGTGCAGTTGATACTGTAGGATGGTCGACACGGCTGTACCCGTTTACGCGAGAGCTCGCGCAGAACAGGTAATCACCAAAGCTGCTGGTATTGGAGTTACTCCGCACCGCCACCTGCTCCTGCCGACAGGTAGAGTATCGGATCAAAGTAGCATGCACCCATGGCCCATGGCCCTGCTCCCCACCATACCACGCAAAGCTTCGTGCAACCTCCTATCGACTTGTCTGTCCAACTGTCTTTCCAGCGTCTGTGCCTTGTGCCATGTACCACGAAGGGCAAGACCGAGAGCGCCGAAAGGCACTTGTTCTGCAGAGTTGACTCTTCAACACAATTGCTAAGACGATAGGGCGATACCAAAGGACTGGAATCGTAAGCGAGGACAGTAAAGGGGTCATAGGCGATTTAAGAGTTCGACAGCGCACTTTTTCTAATGGATTGAGCTGGCACTGAGACGAGGTGTGTTTTTGGCTGCAGTCAGCTATTGGACTTAACACATTAACATGAATTGGAGCGCGAATTCAGGAAGCCTGCTAAGATTGTTCACCAAACAGCATGGATGGTGAGATAATGTAAAATGGTTACAGTGACGTGGCACACTAGCCGAATCTTGCGGAAGGCCCGGGAGGAGAGTACAGAGTTGGCCTTGCGCAGCCTGCGCCTGATGTGGCTCCTAAGGCAGCCGTGCGAAGAGAGAACATGTTTCCGCACTGCCCCATGCAATTCAAGGTCAATACCCTGTGCCGGAAGCGCACTGGCCTCAATCGCGGTGCTCAGCTGTGTGCACCATGGCGAGCCCAAAGGCGCGCCTGCATGCTTCAAGACAATCACAAACGCAAGATCCGCAAGCTCCTCATGAATTCACACATAGGTCAGCCGAGCCGGACTACAGCACCCATTCTCAAGAAACAAATGAACCGTAGCTGTACCCGCTGGATTCGTGCAATTTTGAAGCCCTACGAGCCACATTTACCCAGGCCCAAGAAGGAAGCATCCGGAGGACCGTCCCTCATTGAGTTCACCACAGAAGTCCGCATCTTAGTCATTGTGACCATGCTCATCGCAGAAGTGATTCGTGCAGACGGAGGCTCGGGATGATCCCAATGAAGGCCTCAACTTTGGTGACATGCAAGGGTCTCAGTTCCTGAAGCTTTCCATCTTGATTGTCCTTTCAAGTGACGTCAGCTGATCCTAGTGCACAAGAACCGGCAGCACTGGGATCTGGAACACCTTTGCCTCGCTTGACACTCTTGAAAGAGCGTGTTCCCAATGCTCAGGCCGGAGCGATGTACCTGCATGCATTGCGAGCGCTCCGTTGTGAGGGTCCTGGTGGCGAAGCAAGTTGTACAGTTCAGGGAGGTAGGAATCCCTGTACATTGGAGGTGACATTCATCGACTACGAGGCCTCCTGGGTCACCTGGCTTGGACCTTGGATCTCAAAAAGGCCTTTGCCAAGGGAAGCAATTGGCTTAGAGTTCTGCAAGAAGACGATGAAGACGATACTCAGGCTCTTGGCCATTGTGGTTTGGTTCAGCCTTGGATGGATGGCGTTCTGGGTCTTGCCGTTGCTTTGGCCAGCCTTCAAGGCAGGCTTGCTTGTCCTACAGCTGAACTTGCGATCCATCTGGCCGAACAGGACGTGGTCCACCACTGCCCAGATCTCAGATCTCGCCATCGATGGCCAAAGTGCCGCTGAATCAGAGTATTGCGGAGTTTGTTTGCTGCCAGGCCCGCGGTGCCTGAATGTCATCGCGCGGAAATCGCGCATCTCCTTTCCCACCTTCCGCACCGAGGTGATTTGTTGCACACGTTCTGTTCTCTGTGAGTATTGACAGAAGAGTACATCATCACAAGTTTCACAGCCGCGCCTGATGCAGGTGTGCAGTTTGAAGGTCGGTAATTGTGCTGTGGTCCTTGCGCGCAAATATGTTGCCGGCTCAGCTCTGAATGCCGAGCGGAAGCCAGGTGAGACTTGAACTCACAGGGCATTTGGGTGTTCTGTGCACAGGTCATCATTTTCTTAGGGCTGGTGTTTACCATTGTTGCGGTCTACCTCATGCGTGTTGGACTCAGCTTGCGTGACATCTATGCTAGAGTTTGATGGGCGCTCGAGACTAGCACTTATCAAAATAAGGACATTCTGTGAGGTTCGGACAGTTTCAAAATGCTTTCTCTGGGGTGCCATGCCTGGGCAAGGTTCTTTTGTGCATGTAAATGGTGCCGCGCCAGAGGCCAGGTCAGTGACGTGGAAGTGTCTCATGATAGGGCCAGATCTTGAGATAGCCAGGCGGCTGAGGGGCTTGCTAGAACTCCGGCCCACCAAATTCCAATCATATTCACAGTGGTCCCTGCTTAGAGGCAGACCTGTGCATCCTGCAGAACCATACATTTGCGGACAGTCAGCCAAGGGTGGTGCAAGAACAGACTCTCCGTGGCAGGTACACAAAGGCACCCCATCAATGCTGAGCTGGGAGGCTTGATGCGGATCGATGCAGAACTCCAATGACAACTCGTCAGAGAGATGCCCTGGTGGCTTCCTGGGCTCAAGCAACGGCTGTGTAGAGACCACGTAATATCCGGGCTTGCACTTTTACACATGCTATGTGGTACTTTGTGGCCGTTGGAAACACTCGATCATTGTTTTATCATCTGGTGGTCTGTTGAAAGATGCTGCGCTGCGGTCTCGCATGGCTGTCGCTGGCCTTGGCTCCCTGCTGCGATGCTAGCGCTCCTTTGGAGGAGATCATCGCAGACGTCACTTCCCAGGTTGGAGCAAAATATGGAAGGAGCTTCACCCTGATCCTTGGGCTCAGCTGTTGGGAGACGAAACAGGTCGAAGAAACGCGTCTTTTGTACATTACGGTTACGGGAGTTGTGTTGCAGATTGCAGTAGCATCATTCCAGAACATGGACGCTGGTTCTGTGAGGATCGAGGCGCTGATTTGCAAAAATCATCTGTGCCAGAACAAAACGGATGCACCAATGCGACTGCCTAGCATTTTGGTGGCACAAGCAATTGTCACGGGGGGTAATGAATGGTGTAGCTGGCAGCACTGCATCATGAGCTGATGTGAACTTAGATCAGCTCAAGGCAGACTGACTGCCCAGGTGATGCTGGCTTCCTTCGGGCCATCTGGACCCCTGCGCCCAAGACAGCGCCCACTATTGAGGACAACCCGCATCATACACGAGAAGCTAGACCTGTGGGGTTGTTGTTTGCTGGGTTGCTACTGTTGCCTTTTTTGAGTGCAATAGCGGCTGCTGCTGCTGCTGCTGCTGCTGCTGCTGCAGCCCCTTCAGGCAAGGATTAATCTGACCAGATCGACCCGTGAAGTGCAGCTACTTCATCATGACGATCCGTTCATGGAGGACCACCTGGCGCTAGTCAGACGAGTAGCCGGGGGTGTGCCCCCTGCATGGGGCTTAGAGCACTTGGTCAGGACAGCCTCGTGGCTTCCTGGCCACCCGTCTCTGGAATGACTTTTGAGTCGGCGATGACTAGGCCAGGCCTGCACGGAAGGCGCATGTAGTGATACTGCGATGGACACCTGAGGCTGTATAAGATGATTAATCATAACCCTGCGCCAGAGGATCATGTCCTGGTGCGCCGTGAAGTGCAAAACGTGTGGTTTAAGTTGGGAGAATGATAAGAGGACAAAGTGCTGATGACAGGAACGCTAAGGTCCAAAACGGGAAAACGACAAGTTGAAAATGGCACGATAATAATGTTCGAATTTTCGGGTGAAGCAAGTAGGAACTTTTTGGAACTTCTTTGTATATAGCCCCACGTGGGTGAACGTTCATTACAGAAACGATCTTGACCGCCTTGTTTGAAGCTCCCCTGCACCCTCTCTTTCTTTCTCTCTCTCTCTTTCTCTCTCCTCTCTCTCTCTCTCTCTCTCGCTCTCTCGCTCTTGATCTCTTCTTCTTCTTTTTTGTGCTATGCGGGGTCCCTAAGGGCCGCACGCGGGCTACGCCTGGAGCAAAGGCCTCTGTCCAAGGGAGAAAAATGCTGCCGCAACCGTGAAGGACCGATCATGCGACTCTCTCCCCCCTCCTCTTTGGTGACGCCTACTTTCCTCTCTTGCTGCTTCTTCTTCTTCCCGCCGTCCTTCCCGGCTGGGCTCAAAATGAACGCTCCCCCACCTTGAAGTGGACATTGTTGTGACTGAACTCCAATGATTTGGAGAAGTTTCTGCTGAGGAAGGGTTAGCCTGTCTGATTCTCCCAACAATGGCGGCACAAGACCTTAACAGTTCGACCCCTAGTTAGTGACAGGCCCCCGCATCTCAAAGCAGTTTCCGTCCATCTCTCTCTCTCTCTCTCTCTCTGCGGAACATGCATAGGTTGAGGACTCAGACGGACCAGGGAGTCATGCAAATGACTTTCCGGCGGCCATTGAACCCGCCACTTGCCGAAGATATCACCCATGTTTTGTGTTCTTCGTATGTAGGCTGTAGGCCTACAGCACATTGTTTACTCACCGAACATTGTCATTGCGACCGAGGTGCGTCTCGGAAGACCTTTTCCAATTCGAGATGCTGCCCTCAGCAAACGACCTAACTGTTCTGTCAATCGGCACGTCTTCCGGCAACCTTTGTCATGGCTTCATCACGGATGCTCGGGCAAAGGCTTTCCGTATCGCACTTGTGCAGGCTGTTTGTGCTGTTGAGTCCTTCCAGTTCTGCAATTGTTTGTCTCGCCTCAACGAAAACCAGCGAGATTCAACAATCAAGCGATGGCGAGATTTGTTGAAAGCTCTTGACCGGTGAAGAGCTAATGCCCAGAGAATGTCCAATCAACATGATTGACGTGATGCCCCCTGCCTGAGGAAAAGCTGGATTTCAAATTGTGTCCGGATCCAGATTGTTTGGCCGAAGTGACGATGGTTTGACATGCCCAAGGCCAGTTCCTGACCTCTAACTGTCGCAACCTCTTCAGGTTCGCAACTTAAGTGCCTCAAAAATCCAAGGCAGGAGCAAGCCTGTATATTCCACAATCTCGAATGCCCAGACGTTAAAACCCAGCTTTCTTGCATTCACGCCGGTGATGATATGTAACAGGATGCCAACATGATTCATGACGGATTCATTATGCAATTACATGAGAACTGGCTTCTCAATACCAAGCTTTCAGGGATCAAGCTTCGAGCATCATCATCTTAGGACAAGGGGTGCCGCAAATGCGCATTCATCTAAATCTTCCATAGCTAGCTGGCCACAGATGAGGTTCATACCCTTCCCCGCCCTGATCACGAAAAGGGTTCAGAATTAGTGGGATTACTCTGTCTCTTGTTGCAGAGGATGCCCTGCCCTTTTACGATGTGAGAGGCATTTGGCCTCGAGGCCTCTTAGTTGGCCAATCCTAGACAACACGCGAGCGGCTGTCAAAAATTAGGATCGTTTGTTAGAGCCAGCTCCAATGCGGCCCAGTAATTTTGAAAACTACGCATATCACCTCATGGCCGAGCATCAATACATCAGATGAAAGGCAATGCGTATCAAGTATATTGTTGCCGCTCATGGTCTTCGATTGGCTGCGGAAAGCGCCTGCATTCTACATCGAAAAGAGCCAGCGCTCTGCCCCGGCTGTCTGAAATGGAGGTGTGTAGCTTGACAATAATGATCTGCAAGCAATTTCTTGAACCTTCCCTAGGACAAAGGGCACTCCTCCGCTCCAAATAGCTTTAAACTTCTGAATGTGTCGAGGGAGCCCCTGCAAAACCCGTGAGGAAACACTTTGGAATGTTTTCAGGGTTGGATGCGAGTAATCGAGAGTGCCTGAAGAATGCGATTCGGATTTGGGTCTGAGCCAGACCACTGCCAACATAATCTCTGATGTTGCAAAATTACTGGAGTTGGTAGGAGTCGTGTTCAAGATTGTTCATGTACGACTTTGGGAAGGGCTCTGCAGGGCCTCAGGTGGTTGCGGGCTTGTTATCAGGGACATTCAGCAACTAGCAAGTCCTCAGGCGGTTAGGGTCAGTACATGTATTATGAGTCATCGAGTTCAACGTCATTGCCAGCTGCCAGGACTTCCTATTCGATTGCGGCCCGAAGTCATCCTTGAGGTGGCATGCGGCTGCTCTCATCGTTTTGGAAGAAATCAAATTCTCGACCTCGACAGGTCGAGAGGCAGCTCTGCAATGGTGTTTGACGAGAAGTGCTCACTTCAGCACACTGAAACTTTAGCATCGGCGACTGGAGCATGCACAATACCATTGAGGTACAGTGAAGCGCACTGTGTAGTTCTATGCCATGATCATGCCGAGCAGTAGACAGCATGCCAACATGTCATGTATCATTGACCGCTTTGCAGGGCCTTGGACTTAGCATGTGCGTTCTTCATTGCAAATCACTTGGCGGGAGCTTGCAACGTATCACGTCACTTGAGGCTGGCATAGCCTTATGCGCACAGCTGCCATTTTTCTCAAGCGGACTTATGAGCAGGAATGGATTGCGGGCCCGTATCACTGGGCCGGACAAACTAAAGCAGAGCTATCGACCAAGATTCGTGATCGATTAGTCCAATCTTGGAAGCGTGCAGTTGAGCCAACCCTCAACCTGCCAGATGGCCAGATGCATCATCTCTCAGCTGAATTAGCGACCGAGATACAGGAAGACAGGAACTGTCAAGCTTCACTGCTGTGCTTAATACCTGTGATAGACGCCATGCCGAAAGGCTCCAAGCCCAAGGCCACGGCAGTACGGGTAGGTACCAAGATAATGCCCCTCTCCATTCCAGAAGCATTGAAGTATCTGCATCCGCAGCTCATGACACACACCATAACAAGCCTGATCTAAATTCGCGGCTGTGTTTCGATGAATCCACAACTTTGCATAACTATTCGCGACATGAAACATGAGGGTAAGGCGAGGATGCGTGAGGGTACGTCTCAGCATTTGGCTCCCCCGGGCAGGCCTTCGATGATCTTTTGCCCGACACCAGTTCGAAGGGCTCTAGTGGACGCTCGGATGTGAAGTACAGACAACTTCGTTTTCGGCAGATTTAGCTACACAATCTGCAATGTCATGAACAAAAGTCCGTCCACGACAGTTGCAGAGTCTTGCGGCATGCTGTGGACTTGCAGTGCACTTGCAGGGAATGGCCCCAGCAAGCATTCCCGGAGGCATGCTTTCTGTGTATACTTTGCTTGGGTTATTGCCACATACTGCTTGAAACTTCCTGACTTGCTTCAGAACTGAAGTTGAAGCTGAAGGTGATGCCGGTGCCAGATGAGCTTAGATCATTTGGCCTGCCCCAAGTCACTGTGCTGGGGGTTGTGTGTACTTGTTTAAGATGTGACATAAACGTGCAGAGGCGTCCCTGCCCGCTGAAGCAGTCAACGCCCCAAAGCTGATGATGCTTCTTTGGAGGATACAGCGGCGCGACAGCGGCGAGGATGACTACAGTATGTCTGTAGCAGGACCGCTATGGCTTGGTCTGTTGGCCTTGAGCCTCCAGCCAAAGATTGCGTGCGGCGAGTCACAAAAGGAGGTGCCTATTGTTTCAAGCTGTGCTCAGGACATCCTGAAGGCCCCTATGGAGATGGCGCCGTGGCTGCGCTTTGTTGATTTTGTTGCTATGCAGTCGTCGGCTGAGACCTGCCAAATTTCGGGTGGCCCCAAACATGTTGCCCAGGAAGTAACACCTTCGGTCGGTACAACAACTTTGCCAATGCTGCGCACATGTTGTGCAGGCTGGCAAACATGTCCTCATGGCTTGTCAGATGTTTTGAGGCTTCCAGGCAATCTCTCAAGCAGCAGCTCATCATGATGCCTTCAAACTCTTCAGTTGAAGCATGCAAGCACTCTAGCCGCTGGAAAATGCTCTGCACTCTATCCCTGCGACCTTTGCCTTCATGCCTTCGCAAGGCTCGTTCGCCGAACCTCGGGCAACACTCACTCCATTGATGCTTGGCTGAGCTTCAGCATGTGATGGCTCACATCTTTCGCGGCTGCATGGACCAGAGTCCAGGATTGGCAAATGAATCTTCGTAGTGGCGTTGGGCGCAAGCCGGAGGAGGGCTGGCGGCGGTATTTCAGCCGGAAGCAGGCGCATCGCATGCTGCAAAGCCTAAAGGTCAACTTGAAGCCATCCTGCGCAGGCAAGCTTCGATGCCATCCAGCGAATCTGCACTCCGAACAACGAGGCTCGGCACTGGTCAGGGGCTGGAGGAGAAGCATGGTAGCACTTTGTAGGGTGCCTTTTCAATCTTCACATAGGCACTGACTGGTGCGCAATCCGATTGGAAACATGAAGCTGGCTACGGCATTTTGCACGCCAGGAGTACCAGATGCAACTCAGCACGCCTGTTGACAATACCTTCGATCGCCACATAGGCTGGAATAGAGCGCATGGTGGGTTGTGCTGGTGATGCTGGTGTCACTGGGGATACAGTATGGGATTTTATCTTTCCGTGGGAGGTGCAATCAAATGCTCCACCATCCGGGACCTTCCCATCAGCTTTGAGCGAGCAAAAGGCTGCGAAGGCGCTCAGGCCAGCCCGACAGGATCATTAAACTCTCAGAGCGTGATCATCGTGGTTATCATGATTTGCATCATGGTTTGCATGTATCTTCGCTGGCTAGTGGATTGTCACACTGCTTTATGACTAGCAGCGAACGCTTAAAAAAAGGTTTGACACCGAAAACCCGGCTTTTCGGCCTCGCACCAGTGGGGTCCTGCAGCTCAGACCAACACCAGCCCGCGCGGAACCCAGCCGACCAGCCGAACCCGCCTGCCCACCCCTCCCCCCCGGAACTAAAAAACAACAAAAGCCAACGCCCGAATCAGAGAGGGGGAGGGTCAACTTACTCTCCTAGTCTCCGAACCTGAAACTAGACGCCTCAGGCCTCCGGCCTTAGCAGATATTATTTTGTAGACTCCAGTTCTGGCCATGATGCTTGAAGCTGTGCCGAACTTCTGAGACCGTTTGCGTGGGGTGGGACATGTCCTCCTCCGTCTTGCGGAATTTAAGGCATTGTGAGAAATTGCCAGAGGTGCAAACACAGATGCGCGGTACACAAAGAATTGCATGCAACGCATACAACGAAGCCATTTCCCGAAAAATGCATGCGTCAATTCCTGCAAGTTGGCCGGGTTCTTATCAATCGGATCACGGCTTTTCCCAAGACTTTGGCCTGATGCGCCACCAGGTGGAAATGTCGAAGAGGATGATCATACACATGTTTTTTTCAGTGTGAAGGCGTGTGGCTGGCCAAAGTGTTGCGCAGGCTGGGCAGTGGCAACACATCTTCCAAGCTCGTCCAGCAGTCGGAGTCTTAAACACTGGTTCTGCAGCTCTGGGTGTCCGTAATCAAGCACTTGAGCTGAGGGAGTCCCGATGTTATTTGGAATGCTTCCCCGCTCACAAGTGATGCAGTTGTGCATTGAGACAAGGCGACCAGGCTACAGTTGCAGCACCTGACCACTCTGCGGGAGATGCCAGGCACAATGCACATCAATGCACTCCATCATGTCACCCAGAGCTCGGGATGTTCTGTGGACATATTATGGGAACATATCCAGTACCTCTTGTCAGCAGCCTGATAATCCTGAGATGAGTACAGTATGAGTTGCATACTGCATAGCTTTTCCAATTCAGGGACGATGTGCAGTAATCAGCCGGCTTGAGGCCAGGATGAAGGCATCCGGATTTCCGATAACAGGAGTGATGCTTGCTGGGCCCAAGCCTTACACTTCAGCCAGCAAGGCACCCTCAGTAGCTTGACAAGCTCATGAGGTTGAGATGATGGGCAAGAAGCGATGGGATAATTGCAGGCGAGCTCCAGCAAGGGTAGTTATTCACTCCTGACTGGAACCAAGCGTGCTGCAACGAATGAATCTGCAGGCCAGGCAATCCGCTGGAAAGACATCCTCAGGATGGCGGTGATCCAAAGATGCACCACCTCTATTGGCTGAAGGCGCACAGGGATTTTGTCCACAGATTGGAGGTACGAAGACCCCGCAAGAAGCGTCGTTGTGTCGTTGCGTGGTATGATGCATGCAGTCCATGGCCTTAAACAAGGATGGGATGATTCACTTGGTGCCATCCGCACTATCGCTTGAGGTTCGTTCATCATCATTGCTTCAGGTCTGGCTCCTGTTCGTTCTTCTGCCAGATGCTTTTATTCTAACTCCGCATCTAGCCTGACATGTAGGAGCTCCATCACTCCAGACTCAAGCGGATGGAAGCAACAGTTCGGACAGCTCAGCTTGAACGCAGGTGAAGCCCGAGCCCGATGAGGACGCGCGCCGAGTGCGCAAAACGAAGACACCGCGGCTTTCTGCTGAGGCGCCCTCAGCTATCTCCACGCAGATGCAGCACGGCTTTCCTGTACTTTCTCTCCAGAAAGTAGGTGTCCTGTTGCTGCAAGGTCACAGAAGGGCATGTTCTGAGTCCACTCCACCACAAAATACGCAGAAACAACAGAATCCCCTTTCTTGCGTCGAGGCGCACCCTCCAACCCCGAATCGCATGCTAGCTCGCAGGAAAAGGCTCGCAGACAGTTCGCATGATCTGAGTCGGGATCTCAGACGAGTACTGGTTGAGCTATTGATGGCCTTGAAGCCTGCACATGCTGAGCTTGCCCCAAGGGGTGGCCAAAGATCTGCGCGGTAGCGCTCAAAGCTAGCCTTCAATGCCTCAGAGCAGTGAGTGTTCTACTAGCTTGCCTGATGTGGGTGCTGGCTGCAATATTGCCACCTTGAAAAAGAAGTATATGAGAGCATGTGAAGCAAGTCTTGGAAGACGGCCGCGCGTGTACAGGTTGTGCTTCATCTTTAGCCAGAATTGATTGTCAGAGCAGAGCAGAGTTTCTGATTGCACCGGCCGGTTGTGGATGTCGAAGGCATCCTCCAGCCATGTAATTTATGATCAATTCTGCCGCACAATCCTTCGCCCAACAATTAGGGCGTGTAGTGTAGTGTAGGCTAGACCACTCACTTGCATGGGCCTGGGCCCTCTTGTAGCAATGTAGATACAATCTTGGGTTTTAGGGGTGCTGGCCCTGCCGTGGAGCAGCTCGCGTTCCGCCACTTTTGAAGCGGCACGTTGACCCGACAATCGAGCCAGGTGAGGGACGCCAAATGCGTTTTCCCACACTGAACAAGGCTTTGTCTCATGGCCAGCACCAGCCCATGCACCATAAAAGGGCTACACAGAACTCTACCATGTTCTCCGGTCAGGACAACTTGTTGCAGGTGGTTGCGACTCCGACCTGGAATGATGTTTGAGATGTTTCCGAGCATCAAGTACAGGTACCGTCGGCGAACTTTTACCTGGCAAGGGGAGGCCAGCTGCAGATTGCAGAGGGCCTACTGTATCTTATTGCTTGTTTTCTTCAGTTTGCGCCGTTTGCGCGTGGGCAAAGTCGTTGGGTGCTTCAGGGCTTCTAGCGTCGGGTCGTGCAACGGCACATAGGATGGTTTAAGGATCAGATTCGTGGCCAAGGGCTACGTAGCAGTAGCAACGAGGTTTGCCGCATGTTCCATTTCTAACATTGTTAGAGCTTGTTCAATACGATATCTTTCGGAGGTTCTTGTCTGTTTTCGTTGATGTAACTTGGCCACTATGTTTTCTGGTGCAGCATGAGAATGCGTATTTCCCAGGCTGATTGTTACACCCACCCCTCATTGCACGAAGTACTGCAATTACTGCACTGCAACTGAGCCAGCAACAGTATCGTGGGAGCGCTCTCACGGTCCTCTGGCTTGTTCTACTGACTTCGGGGATGGCGGGTCTTGCATGGGACCTTCGGGGTCCGTAGGTTGAGTGCTCGAGTCATGGAGAAGTGGGGACACCAGACGGGAACATGTACAGAGTTCGGGTCTACTGTACAGTACGCATTTCTTGCAGCAGCATGTGCTGCGTTCAGCGTACAATCACACAGTGAATCCGCTAATGTTTGATGATGGAGCCCGCTGGTGCGAATAGCACAGACAAAGATTTGGGTCTTGGGTTGTCCGAGCTTTTAGCCGCGAACACGCATGGGAACACAGTGCTGATTGGGGAGAACCACTTAGAGAGGCACAATCCACACAATTGGGTACAACAACCTCTGCACAGGTGCGAGTGATTCGAGAAGGCTTTGAGGCCATGGAATTTGGGTGGCTTGCTGGCTAAGTTAAGGTAGGCTTGGTGCGCTCCTGCCAGATGCCATGTTGGGATGCTATCCTGTGATGCACCTACGTCCTGGCCTGCAGGTCTTCTTCGTGCGCACCAAGAGTGTCTTGATGGCGTGAGAACCCAGCGTCAGTATCTAGGACTGTGCTGCTTCACTCATGTGAGCAAGCCCAGGATTGATCATGGTGAGCATGGCTAGCAACATCATCAGACAGCGTAGTATTAGGAGTTAAACAACAACTGAAGCCAAGATTCAATATTTCATTTTGCGAAGGTGCGCATGTATCCCTCGCGCTTTCCACGCGGGAATCTTGGGTAACATCTCCTCAAGCTGCGCGGCAGTGTGCTTGCAGTTCATAGGCCAGAATGCTTTCTCCTGCAAAGGTCGAGATCTTCCAGATGTTGCATTGCTGTTTAGCGAGTCTCTGAACAAGGAGGCACTTTGCTTTGACTTACCGTGTCCTTTTCTGCACTGGGGTAGCTGCAGTCCAGCACCACTCACCTCAAAAAATGTATGTGGCTGAATAAGATCAAGCAAGGAGCTAGATTGAGGCTAAAAATCTTGGATGGTGGTTGTATTTTGATACACGAATGTGCATTCCCACCATTTTGGCAAACTCCATATCTGTAGCCTCCAAATCTTCGTGTCATGCAATTGCAGACACGCGCGACAAGGCAAAACTCCAAACCAGAAGTGGACATATAAAGAAGTGTCGCCTTCCCAGTCGAGTAAAAGCCACCACCCAGAATTAGCCAGGCAACGCGAGGTCTCGTAAAGTAGAAGAAGAGACAAGACGAACCCCTGCAGAGCTTCAGCAAAATCCGGATCTCGGGCTCCCAGTTGATTGTGTGCTCAAGGGGCAGCATTGTATGGACTTCCATTCCTTTCTTCCCTTTTCCTCCTCCGTCTTATACTAAGCGATCATTCTGCCAAGTAGCAACGTAGCAACTGCACATATGTTGGCAGATCGCCGAGCTGACGCCGGGCGACTGGGTAGAGTTCGAGGCGATGCCAGTCATTTGCAACGAAGATGAAAAGCAAAACGACGCATGCACGTCCTCTGCATTGCAGGCCACCATGACCTTGCATGGATACCGTGGGGATCCTGAGGCGCAATGCTGTGCGCCTGCCTTCCGCCCCACAAAGCTCGTGCTGCATGCTGCCCAAAGACGAAGTCCTTGGCTTGTGACCATTCATGGCAAGAAATGTGCTGTCATGGAGCCACGAATGCCCGTCCCTGAGCCTACGTCCTGACAGTTGATGACGCTTTGGCACATCAAACGCGTCGAGCCACCAACCCCACTCTCGAGCTCAGCCGCGCGAGGAGGGCGCAAGCACAGTCGAGCCCTACAGTATGTGAAGCCCTGAATGACAAGGTAGGGATCGTAAGCAAAAAGATCACGATGCTGACCAGAGTCGAGAGTTTCCAACACCATGACGCTAGCACACGAGAGTGGATGGAGTCTGTAACACAACGCTGCAATGCTGCCGTGCTAAGACTGCTAAGATTCTACAAGCTTTCTGCTTCCCAAGCAGGATCGCATGCCAAGCCTGCACTCAGCCCAGCAACCTCAGAGGCCGACTGACCCAAAGGTTGTTTGTCAGCTTGTAAGGGTTCTTGCAGGATCGTGCAGGCTAGTGGCGGAGTAAGGTCTCGCTGCTTTTTTGTAGTTTGACTTTCCTGCCCTGCAAGTCAACATGTACAGCAAGCTCGTTCAGGATGTGTTTGCATCAGATGGAGCCAGGATTGGATGTGTTGGGCAGAGTGTATGTTTGGGATGACGCAGTGGAGATCCCAAAGCCACTTGCTGCCATTGTTTGAATCAGCTTGGCTAGCGGATTTTTATCTAGGCTGAGAGCCTGGTAATCAAAAAGGTTGTTGAAGATTTGACCAACGAATGCACTGACAGCTGGATGAAACTCTGCCAGTCGGGATGAAATTCTGCCAGCCGCAGGCGAAGCCGCCAACGGAAACAGTGTCTGCACGCTCCCTGGACTTGCCCCCTAGTCTTTATTGTAGGCATTCTGTATATCGTAGGGAAATGATGGGCTAAATCTTTTGGGGGTGCAGCGTTCAAAAGGCAGTTTTCATGCATGAGCATTCGAAAGCCGTCCAGGCCGAGCCAGTCGGGCGCGCCGAGCCACAAGAAAGTGCGCAGCAGGAGGTGCGCAGAAAGAGTTCCAGAGGATCAAGCTCTTGCTGCCCAGTATGTTTAAAAGTCGCTCGTTGAGTTTTGAGGTAGCCAGTTCCACCCAAAAGGAGACCGAAGTGGAAACACAAGTCTGGCACCGAGCAGAAACAGCAAGGAGAGACGAAATTAGAAGGGACTAGGTTCAGCACGAGTGTTGGCGAATGCGATGGATGTGGCTGAAGGCCCCTGATGTTGAAGCACCAGCACCCGCAAAAGAGCAGCCTGAGACTGCCAGCCACCAAGAGTTGCAAATTCTGTCCCAAGAAGCGGGTTGCTTGACTTGCTGATTCCCCCCCTCAAGCTCGACAGTGCCTGTACTGAACAGGCCGCACCAGAAGCACAAAAAGCCAGCGAGGAAAGCGGAAGCCCGCCCGCATAATTTGTGGTCAGGCATCAAGTGCTCGCGCAATGGCCTCAAGTTGTTTCTGGGTGAAGCGGGCACTATGTGTTTATCTTGCTACACAGGAGCATAACTCTGGTAAGCTGAAAGCCATGTGCGCCGCTGACCAGGGGATTGACAGCTGCCTGCCCGAAAAGGGTAGTGCGCAGCATCTCGGACTTCGATGCGTGTGGTAGCCCTCTCTTTGATTGAGCGCAGCTTGCTGCATCTGCCCAAAGGGATGCTCTGTGTTGCCTCGAAAGACACATACGAGCAGAAAAAATGCGTCGGTCATTTGTCGCTTGATAAAAGCATGCTACGCTAGGTATTCAAGTTGACTGTCGTAGGTATGGACCATAACTTGGTGCGCTGGTGAGCCTGAGCAGGCTCGAGCCCAAAGACCTCCCAGATGCACGCAAACTCCTGTTAAAGAAAACATGGCGCGACGTTGGATGGCAAAATCGGTGCCGGGTCAGCCAACTGCTCCGTCTGCCCCCCCTGCGCCAGTAGCAGCAACCGCAATGCGCAACCAGTCACTTGGCATGGCAAGAGCTGAATGAGACATCTTGAACTTGAAGGCAAAAATGATTTCACGTGGTGTTTGACGACAGTTGCTACGTACCACTACCAGCACAGAAGCAGTACTTGGTCTGGACTTAGGCAAGAGCGTGGCGTGGCTCCTTCAATAGCCGTGATTGGCACAGGAAAGCGGCTGCTTTCGCGTAGCATTTTATCCCTGGCCCCATGGGGAAGAATCCTGACTGCTATGTAAGTTATGCGTAGGGCCAAGGGTGTCTTGTGAAGTTCACGCAATCATGATGAGTACAGCTCAAATTCGTACCCAGAGTTGCAAATCTGGAACAACCCGTTCTGACACTAGAAGTTTGTGGTGACTAGCTACTGGCGCACAAGAGAGTTTCTTTGCGCTGCCTGAGAGGCATGGCGGCCTTGATGTGCACACGGCGTCTTGCCAAGATGGCGAGAGATGAGAAATGCAGCCTCCATGGAGCGCGTGTCACACTGTGTACCAGCCGGGGTAAGCTTGCTACTCAGATGGGACCAAAAAACCAGACGCTTCCGCAACCAGGCAAGCCGTTTTTCGATTATGGGTGCCAATACTTCACTGTGAGCAGCAGCGCTTGGTTTACTGAAGAGGTGCAGAAATGGGCGAAGCTTGGGCTCTGCCAACCCCTGCCACAAGGGCAAGTCGGAACACTTTCATCCTCAGAAGGCTTCGCAGCCCTTCCCGGCGACCGTTGGGTGGGTAATGGAGGTATGGGTCCCATGCTTACCAACATGATTCAGCAAACCGCCCAAGAATTTGAAGACACGGTGGAGCTTGTCAGCGGCTTTCCAAATGAGGCAAACAAGGTGGTGGGCTTGCGCAAACTTGCAAGCCCGCCCTGCCACTGGGAGCTTAAGACGAAGGATGGCAAAACGCTTGGACCCTTCACCTACGTTGTCGGAGGATTTGCGCAGCATGTATTGACGGATCCATTTCTACTATCTGGAGGAGCGGCGTGCTCCTCAATGCTGGAATGCTTGCGCAGAGTGGAATCCAACCAAATCATCCCAATACAAGTCATTTTCGAGGGTGAGCCTCTACCAATTCCGTTCACTGCCGCACACGTTTACGGCGACGAGGTCCTAAGCTTCATTGGCAACAACACCAAAAAGCCTCAACAGAATGGCAAGTGGGGAACGGCTGGCCCCCAACACCTCACACTGCTAAGCACGGCAGAGTTCGCGGAGCGTGAGTTTAACTGCAACCCCAAAGGCTACCGTCGGATTGCTGAAGAAAAGCTTCTGGCATCCTTGGGACGATTGCTTGGTGTGGACGTGTGGAAGCACAAGCCTTATATCAATCGCATAAATCATTGGGAGGATGGACTGCCTGTCAAGACGCCGCCAGATTCCAGAAGCTGCCTCTTTGACGCTGCGCAGGGTCTGGGCTGGTGTGGTGACTTCTGTGTTTCTCCAGGTGTGGAAGGAGCTGCTAACTCAGGAATCGCCATGGCAGACGTCTTGGACGCTAGTCTGAAAGTGCACCTCAATTTGTTGAGATTTTTCTTGTTGCCCCTTGCCCTGACAAGGAATCCTTCCATGGACAGAAGGACTTTGACCAAGCTGGTCTCTTACCGATGGATGTTGACTGGGTGCCAATTGAGTCACTTCAAGGTTCCAGCATTGTGGACATTGGATCTTTTGCTGGGATTACAGCTCACTCAACACACACGGACCTGGTTCCTTCCGCGATTGGAGGCTACAACAAGGCTTGGCCCTGGCGGCACAGAGGAAATCCCACGTGTCCATTTGACCTTGCCTGTCAGGCCGCTGCCCACTTCGGGGCAAGTGGCGATGCCAGAAGCTACGACAGTAAGGGCAAGTCGAAAGGCAAAGGGAAGGGTGGCAAAGGCAGGGGGGGACGCATTCACAATACATAAGGGCACACTTCACCATGCTCGTTAAAGTTCTGCTGTTTCCGTTCAGGTTGGGTGGCAAATGGGTTTGATTGGAATTTGTGAATGGGCCGACTGCAGAAGTCAAGCAGCGCATATCTAAGGAGTCTACACTAAAATGTGTTGATCCCTGCAAATCCTGGTTGAAGTTGCATGCAGGTGGCAAGAGTAGAGGAAGCCTTTGGAAGGGAAAGTGAGCTGTGAAGTCATCAGCACGTTCACCGTTTATTGAAAAGTCTTGCTGTACATAAATTCTGCAGTCTTCTGCGTGGACATCCTAGTGGAATCCATAGGTCATCATGCTGGCATTTCTGGTTTGTGGATGCTAGTTAACTCGAGGCATTGGCCATTTTTCTGACCCACGCACGTCCTCAGCGAAGCACCTGCTTCAGGCTGCCAATTTTCTAGTTGCGCCCAAAGCTGCGCTTCCTTCTTTACGGAGTTATAGCTCCCATTTTCAGCATTAAATATGGTGCGGAAGTCGCGATCTGTCACCTGATAGGCTTTTCCGCGGCAGAGATGTTCGCAGCAAATACGGTGCGGAAATCCGTTCGACTTGAGTTGTCATATTTTGAGTGACGGAATGGTAGCAAAAAAACTGCAAATAAATCTTAAGCCTCATAATGCGAACGCTAATTAACGCGCATATGCGGGTGGATATTTCCCACATTTTTCCCACATTGTGAAGCAAATCCTAATGGATTTGCTTCTCATGTCAATGCGGGTCTCTATGTAAATTGCTCATGTTGGTCTAATACTTTTCAACTAAATTCCATTCGAACCGATTTCTATCTTCCGCCTTATCACTAATCCATAACTGGCAATCTGGAATGAAATTAGATATTAATATGTATATATTTTTCTGCTCGCGGAAATGATATAAAGATTACGAGATATAATTATTCTGAATTATATATATAATAAAGGAGATATAGAATTCTGAAATAGAATTAATGAAAAATATATTTTGATATTGTTCTATAAAGATATATACGATGATATATTTCATCTATTTTAATTTACGGCACGAGATATAAATATCCGCGAAGAATTGCAATCAACCTATAAAATCTTAATTTTCCTGAGCAAAATATAGACAATCCACCAATTAAGCACGCAAGTCATTAAATCCCATTGAAATCGATCGAAATAAAAATCGCACGCTCAAAAATCTATTTCCAAGCTTCTTAATTTCTCGCCATAAATAAAAATCTCGAAAATTATCGAGCCCTTAATTTTCCGAAGAATTCAAAAATCTCGGCAATATTAATATTACGAGAGAATTCTTAAAAGAAATATTTAGATGCGATCCGAAAATTGTAGGCAATATATAAACGAAATAATCCCCGAATTATTTTGTAGATGCGGAAATAAATGAGGCGACGAAATTGGATTGGATATAAAGATCGCACTAGAAGGGTTCGCGCACCTAAGATCTTTCAAGATTTGGAATTCTTCTTCTCTCTTTGGTTATTTGCGCGGCGAAATCTTTTAGAATATCATGTAGGATCTTAAAATATTAGTAGTTATCGGTCTTCACGTACGATATAATATTTAGTTTTCGGATTTCTCGTTATAGATTTTGTCAAATGAATATATATAATGATGAAATCAATGACCCCAAGTTAATATCATTATTAATTTCATTATTTTTATTCGTTCATATGATCTGTTATTAATTGAAATATCGTTATTTGATAATAGAAGGAAGAAGAATTTAGATTTAGGAATTATGAATTTAGATTCGTATTTTCTTTATTCTTATTGATATTATTGATATTGATTTGATTCTATATAATATTATGATATAAATAGATATATTTTTAGATAATCGATAAATACGTAGATTCTAATATATTCGTGTCTTATTGATTNNGATTATTATACCTCAATTTTTATTGGAATAGAATTCATTTGAAAATGATTATATCTTCTTGATTATAATATAGAAGAGATATTCATAAATCATCATTGAAATCGTTATTTCTTCTTCTTCTCATGAATTATCATTGAAATCATCTTTATATATTATTATTATGATTCTGTTGATGATTTTATTCATGCCGGAAAATGAATAATTCAAAATATCTCATATGAATCTAAAGATATCGAAGATGAGATATGAAATTCTTTGAATAACATTTTCAATTAAATAATTAAGATTTTAATATTATTAGTTGATCTATTATCATTTGAAATATTTCGTATTAATTATTTTCTTCATTCAATGATTTCTTTTTCATTTATTTTGGAGGCAAGATTTGATGATTAGATATATTTTCGGATATTGATATTTTTAATATTCATTTTCTCAAATGATTTCTAGAAAAAAATAATTCTTTTCCGTTTGATATTCTTTTTTTCAAATCTTGAATCTTTAGCATAGGAAATAAATATTCAAAAGAGAATATTTTGAGAGAATATATTTTTCTTTATATATAAAGAATTCTATAATATTTCAGAAATATATTATATGACGTTATCTATATAAATTATTAAATTTTAATATTATGAATTCTTATTATGATATTATTCGATCTCAAAAATATAATTTTCTAATGATATCCTAATTCGAAATATCATTCGAAAGAATATTTTTGAAATCTCATATAATCGAAAATCTCTTCTATTATTTAGTTTCGTGCGAATCTATCTATGAATATATAATATATTTTTATAGAATTGGAAATATTTATATATTCATTTAAGATAAGAAAATATTATTCATATATAATAATCTAAAAATTAGTATGAATAAATCTATTCAGAAAAATGAAGAATCATATATAATTCTTCAATATCATATAAATTTAATGAAATTCATATAAATTTTCGTATGATATAAATCAAAATAATCTTATTTATATTTTTAGATTCCTATCCTATCGTATTAAATATGATCAGAATACTAAATAATCTATAATCTTATCTAATTCTCATTATCAAATATATATCATTTCCTTATTTTATAATCATAAATATATATTTTATAAATTTTTTGATATACCTATTCGATATATTATAATACGTATCAAAATCTTTATTCTATCTTGATTTTTGAATTAAGATATCTCCTATCGATTTCTCCATTTTGAAGACCTTCTCTCAATCCTAGTTTAAATGAAGTATAACCTTTTAATAATTAATTTGAGAAGCAAATAAATATATCTTATATATCATTAATCGTATAAATATATTAATCTCTCTTTCAATTCTATCTCATCCAAATTATTTCGATCATTCTCAGATATCGTATTTCTTTTGATATTCTTATTTTTATATATTCATTCTAAATTCTCCATAATAAGTCTAATTTGAATATATAATTTATCATGATTTTAGAATTATTCCTCCTCCTGTAGCAGCGGATAATACTATATCTATTTATTAATATCTATCTGAAGAAATTCGATGACCACGTAATATGAAAGATCGTATCTATTTCTCCGAACTACCACGCCGACAACCAAAGAGAAATAATTCACGCAACCCACTAAAGATCGCACGTGAATCCCGACGAACAATCAATATATAAGACGGCACATGACCAAAAACGG